TGTCGCTTGGCCTCGAAGGCTCATGTTTCCTCAGCTTTCGTGAAGAAAGAGAGAGAGAGACAAAGAGAGAGAGAGAGAGAGAGAGATAGATAGAGAGAGAGTATGAGAGAGAGAGAGAGAGTATGTCAAAATTTTGACTACCAGAAACTTTCTGTTGGATAGCCTTGATCGAGTTTATCGAGCTTTTGCAAAATAGCGAGCCTCTGGATATGAAGTTTATCTGTTTAGGGGAGATAGCCCCCACACCCTCCCGACAAAGCCTTAAGCCTTGTAGACGTTGGCATAATGTCTTCCTTGGAGCAGGTGGGGCCAATTTGACGCTAGGGTTTCCTAAAACCAGACTGGTTATAGTCCATCGTACCGCTGCATAAATCGGAGCTTTTAAAAATCGTTTTGATTCTTTGCTTAGCCGCACGAGGGGAGAGTATTTGTTCTCCTCGCCCTTGTCTTGTTTTTTTCAGCGGTCTTATTTTGGGAGGTTCTCTTTGCTTTAGGAGTTGTATTGGGAGGGGTTTCCTCTTCTACGATCTCCTGCTCGGGGTTTTCCCCATCCCGAGGTTGGTTTTTAGCTGCAGCGATTAGACGACCTGCAGCTCTGCATTATTCCATAGAATGCTCATTGTGCATATGGTGCTTGCAGAACTTACTAGCATCGTATTCAGATCATTTTCCTAAGTTCAGACTGTTGATGGCGAACGACTGCTGGTTTCTTTCCGCCTGTTCCTTTTTGAAAACTTTATTTTGCGGGTTCTTACTTTGGACTAGAAGGTGAGCTTCGTGTCGCTTGGCCTCGAAGGCTCATGTTTCCTCAGCTTTCGTGAAGAAAGAGAGAGAGAGACAAAGAGAGAGAGAGAGTGAGAGAGAGAGAGAGAGAGAGATAGATAGAGAGAGAGTATGAGAGAGAGAGAGAGAGTATGTCAAAATTTTGACTACCAGAAACTTTCTGTTGGATAGCCTTGATCGAGTTTATCGAGCTTTTGTAAAATAGCGAGCCTTCGGATATGAAGTTTATCTGTTTAGGGGAGGTAGCCCCCACACCCTCCCGACAAAGCCTTAAGCCTTGTAGACGTTGGCATAATGTCTTCCTTGGAGCAGGTGGGGCCAATTTGACGCTAGGGTTTCCTAAAACCAGACTGGTTATAGCCCATCGTACCGCTGCATAAATCGGAGCTTTTAAAAATTGTTTTGATTCTTTGCTTAGCCGCACGAGGGGAGAGTATTTGTTCTCCTCGCCCTTGTCTTGTTTTTTTTCAGCGGTCTTATTTTGGGAGGTTCTCTTTGCGTTAGGAGTTGTATTGGGAGGGGTTTCCTCTTCTACGATCTCCTGCTCGGGGTTTTCCCCATCCTGAGGTTGGTTTTTAGCTGCAGCGATTAGACGACCTGCAGCTCTGCATTATTCCATAGAATGCTCATTGTGCATATGGTGCTTGCAGAACTTACTAGCATCGTATTCAGATCATTTTCCTAAGTTCAGACTGTTGATGGCGAACGACTGCTGGTTTCTTTCCGCCTGTTCCTTTTTGAAAACTTTATTTTGCGGGTTCTTGCTTTGGACTAGAAGGTGAGCTTCGTGTCGCTTGGCCTCGAAGGCTCATGTTTCCTCAGCTTTCGTGAAGAGCATAGCTAGATGAAATGCATCGAGCAACGTGATGTTCATGATCGATAGCTCTAGTTTGAAGCTAGACGTGTACTAGAGTCCGTCTTTCAGGACCTTTAGTGCTACTCATTCATTGAGCTTTATGATTTTGGACTTTGTTTCTTTGAACCTCATTACAAAGTTTCAGAGCGGTTCATTTTCTGCTTGCTTTAGCATGTCTAGGTTAGCCTCGGTGGTTTTAGTCTCGATGAATACCGAGTATTGTTTGAGGAAAATGGCCATGAACTAGGTGAAGTTACTGATGAAACTGCCTTCTAAGCCCGCAAACCACTCTTGCGATGAACCTATAAGTGTCTTGGCCAATAGCCTGCAGCAGCTGGAGTCTTTTTCATCGTTGCTGAGACGAGCTCGAGCCATCGCATGGTTAAAACGTCTGACATGTGCTTTCGGGTCTGTGTTTCCAGGTATACTCCAGAAATTTAATCTTTCCAGCGTCGCAAAGACTAGCATTTTCTATTTTAATGACTAAGGGCATCCGACGTGTCTCCTCGATTGCGCGGTCAATATCCGTTATGAACTCGTAGCGGTGTGCATGAATGCTCTCATCCGGCGGAGTTTCGCGTTTTGCATTGCGACGTGTCTCTGGACAGATTCAAGATCTGTTATGTTTCGATGGTCGATGTGATCAGGATTTTCGATAAGATGGTTCTGGATGGTTTGATCTTGCGAGCTACCGTTCATCCAGGTGCCGAGGTGGGTATCTTGCCCAACAGGCATTCAGAGATAGTACATTGTGTTTTCTTCGTGGTTTGGTGGGTTAGCACGTGAGTTTGAAGTTGCAAGGTGAGAGGTGCAGTTTGCTGCCTTCTAGCCTCGGGAGTTGTGAATGCTTTAGAGAAGTAAAGTCGCGCTCGAGGTAGCAGACTTCTGTCCGGATATGTTCTCTGTTTGCAACGAGAGCCCATAAAATTTTTTCGAGCTGCAGTTCGTACGATTTTAGCTCGATACTCGTTCAGAGCATTAGCTTGCTGGTTTAGGCGAGCCTCAAATCTTTGTGCCATCTGGAATAACATCCATTGGATCTCGAAGGCGACCTGGTTTGGAGTTCGCAGGAAAGTTTTCTTCGTTTAGGACCCAAATGAATGGGTTTCCCCTTCCGGCTACAGTCGAGCTTTGGTTCGAAGGTATTACCCTTAATCCGCTGACTGGGATTTGATTAACCGAAACGGGGTCGTTTGCTCGATACGAGCGGTGGTGCTGTTCACACTGGCGACTGCTTTCCACGAACTGATATTAGCGATACGCGAATTGTTGGATCTGGATGGATCATCGATTTTAGAGGATGTCTCCTCGTTCATGATCCTTTCTTGTGGATCTGTTTCTCCATTTATGTTCTGTTCACGGCTAGAGTGTTTCGTTTCCAATCTGGTGGTAGGAGTGGGAGTAGTTTGACTCGCGATCACTGTCCCAATCCAAATGGTTTTACTGTTTAAACAGAAGTTCATATTGGAAAGAAGTGTTCCTTTGGCGTTTGCCGATACAGCGGATCTGTTGGATTCCGTGTTTTATGGATCCATTATCGTTCTGACGAACCTTAGATCTGGCATATAGCACCAAATTGTGGATGTTAAAATCCACAATCAGATATTTGTAAAGTGTTTAATAAAACTAAGGAGATGATGGGTAAGAATTCAAAGAACTTAAGATCAAAAATAAAATAAATAGATTTTATTTATGGAATCGAAAGATTGTTTACAAAAAATCAATAGTACAATAAGTTGTAAAGTACAAATGAATAAGAATACATGAACTCGTAAAGCGTACAAGTTGTAAATTAGGTAAAAAACGAGAGCTTTTTCTTTATGTCTTTCCTACTCCTTTTATAACCTTCTTTTAACTCCAACTACTGCGTGAATCTCGAAGAATAGTTGTAACGAGCTCCGGATATCTCAGATGTCATTGCTGGATCGAGTTCCAGATATGACGGGACCTCGCCATGCTCGATTTAGTCATGAACAATATCTTTAATTAGCGGGAACTCGTCAATTATTAAAGATACAAATAAACTATATATCTAATGGATTATTATAGATGAATTTCAGATGACTGTTTAATGGGCTTTATAATGACCGGATATGGTGTTAAATCGAACTTCCAATAATATGTTCATATTTTTGTAAAGTTGGACTATGCTTTGATTTAACAACTTCCTAATGAACACTTTAGCATTTGTTTGCTCATTATGTAAAACTAGGGGGGGCATTTCAGTTTTTGGTTTGGTTTTGGTTCGGTTTCTTCGGTTTTACGGTTTATCGGTTTTACGAAAATTCAAACCATATAAAAGCCATATATATTTCGGTTCTATATGGTTTGGTTTTTTACGGTTTGGTTTATTATGGTTTGGTTTCGGTTTTTTTAGAATTATATTTTTACAAAATTTTTTGATTCAAACTAATAGAAATAATAATAATAAATATGAGTAAAATAAAATAATAAATTCAAAAAATAGAATCTAAATCATAAAAAAATCATCAATAACGACAAATTTTAAAACAGAAAAACAAATAAATTATTAAATTTTTCATAATCAATAATTATAAAACAATAAACAAATCTATATTAAAATTTAATACTTATAAGACTATAACTTTGAAACTAGAACTAGAAAACTTGAATGTGAAGAAAAAAATAGTTAATTACGTTATTTTTTATTGAAAAATTAAGGTTTACTTTATTATTTTTATGTAGAATTCTTTTATAAATATTTTATTTTAAAAACTGAAAAATTCTTTTGGTTTGACGGTTTTTAACCAAACCAAACGTAAACCAAAGCTATAAAAAAATGATGGCCAAATGGATTTTTAGGTTTAACCATAACTAAACCATATCACTTTTTCCGATTCGGTATGATTTGGTTTTTTCGGTTATGATTTTTGTGCCCACCCCTATGTAAAACATGAATATTAATTTGTTTTAGTTTCATGTTAAATCCAATGAGATTTGTCCCCGTTCAGCTTGTAAGTAGGTATGGTTTATAGAAAACTTTAATTGTTGGAATAGGATAGTTCAACATTACAACTAATAAAAGAAAAGCACACAATAATAGTCAGCCTCACAACACATACCTATCAAACAAATAACAATTCAACCCTCTATTTAATCGAGTTTTCCAAAAAAGCCCAAAATATTGAAAACGGAAAAACGAAACCAGAGAATCGGCTTTCTCTCCATAACCAAACCGGAAAAACAAAAAACCTAAACCGGTTTTATCCATAAGTGGAAACAAAAAAAAACCCGAAAAATGTACACACAGCAAATTCACTGATTCAAGAAAACTAAAAAACCCTGCCAAACTTTCCATAAATACCTATTTACACCTTTTAATCCATTTCTTTGACATCTTTCACCGTCCGTACAAATGATCATCGTCTTCAAACTCAGTTACACCGAGCATAGCAAGATCAAGATGACATTTCATCTCGGATTTGGTTTGTTGCAACTGTGTATAAGTATCGATTATACCCGAAAGATTCGTGTTCTTTCTGCTCGAGTATGTTCTTGGCTCTAATCCTTCTCCTCCTTTCAAGATCGATACAATCTCTTCCATGCCAGGTCTTCGTGACTCCTCGTTGATCACACACGCCGCCGCAGCACGAACCATCCTCTCCATGTGAACCGAGTTCTTTCTTGTACATCTCAATCTCGGATCAAGAAACTCCTCTATAGCTTCAATCCCTCTATCCAACAACGGTTTCGCCTATAGAAGAAAATACTAAATATTTTTAACCAAACCAATCTTAATTTTAGCAGATTCGATCAAAGTTTCAGATGACATACCCAAACAACCAAGTTTTCTTCACCAGATGATCTTCTTGGTTCGATTGGTTTTCTTCCTGTTAGTAGCTCAAGCAGGACAACACCAAAGGCGTAAACATCGGTCTTGTCAGAGATCTTACCATGTTGGAAATACTCTGGAGCTAGATATCTGCAAGAAAGTTTCTATATTTGGTTAATTCACTAATAAAAGGAAAACAAAGAGCTCACAGAAGTTTCGATCCATACCCGAATGTGCCTTTCACGGTCTTGCAGAGGAAAGGAACCGAAGGTGCAGCGGTCCAAGTAGCTAAACCGAAATCACACAACTGAAATCACACAAAGCAACTCTTAGTTTTCGGCTAATCAACTATCGAATAGAGATCATTCCTTTCTTGAAAAAGACTCTGCCTTTACTATACCTTTGGTATCTTCTTTGAGGAAAGAAGAATGTTGGAAGGTTTGATATCTCTATGAACAACACATTGCTCTGTTCCATTATGCAAATAAGCAATAGCATCTGCGATCCCTAATGCTACTTTGTACCTTGCTGACCAAGGCAAACCAAAAGCAGCTTTCAAGCCTTTCTTCTTCTTCTTATCTGTTAAAAAACCCAAAAATCGGAATCTGTGAGTGTTAAAAGAACAGATTTTGATCTAGAAACAAAGGCAGAGATAAAGCTTTTCTCTTTACCGTGTAAATAGTCTTCGAGGCTACCACCAGAGACATACTTGTAAACCAAGAAAAGACCTTCTTCTGGATCTATACAGAATCCAAGAAGAGGCACAATGTTGGAGCTGTGAAGAGAGCTTGCGATCATCAACTCTCTGCAGAAAGATTTTGGAGATTCTTTGTCTTCTTTATCAAGTCTCTTGATTGCTAAAGCTGTTCTCCAAATTCCGATTTTACCCCTGAACACATAGCTACAAGCTCCTCTTCCCAACACTCTCCCTTAAAACAAAACCATTGAATCAAAAAAGTCAAAAGTCAAAACCTTTCTTCAATTTTTCATCCTAATTTCATGGAGAACTAAGCTTAAGACAAGAACTAATTTAGGGCTTTTACCTTTGGAGAAATTACGAGTGGCGGCGACGATTTCGCCGTAGCTGAATCGAACCAGAGTATTAGCCACCGGAGAAATACTCTTTTCCAGCGATCGAGCTCTCGTCCACCTCAAATCGTCGGTGGAATTCCCAGTTTCCTTAACTCCATTCTCCAGATTCACCATCAAAACCGTCGCGGAGCCACCGGAAACTGATAAATTCCGGCTAGACGATGAAGCGGATAACGAAGATTCTCCTCCTTTCATCTTCTCCAGCTCAATTTGTGAGCAGAGACTGAATCTAAACGATGAATGAACCGAGTGAGGATCAGGGTTCATATTCTCCGGAGCTGTTTCAGCTAAAAGCCACGCCTTGTTGTTCTCTCCGCCGCTTCCTCCGCCTTCATTGTTGCCGGAGTTCTCGATTGAGCTTGATCCAGCTGGAGGAGGAAGGAAACAAGCGAATCCCAGATCAAATATCATCTTCTTCAAACGGGTTTTGATTCCTTTCTCATTGTAATCTCCGTCAAGATCTGGAGAAGATGAAGAAGTGAGAATGGGAATATTTACGGAATTATCCTGAAGATTTGTTTCTGGGTTTCGTGGATGAACAGACGCTCCTTCATAAAAGCCCATTTTGAACAGATCTCGAGAAAAAAGGAGCACAATTACCCAGAAAAAGCAAGAGAAATTAGATTCTCTCTAGTGAAAAGTTTGATTCTTTTTTGAAGCTTTGCTTGCTGGAAGGGAAGGAGAATATATTTGTTTTTTTTCTCTTCAATTTTGTTTTTTCTTAGCAATTTTTAGGTTTATAAATCGAAGATGGAAGAAGATGATTAAATTAATATACGATTAGTGGTGGAAGGTGGAAACATTTTAATATTTTCTATACCGTTAAGTTGTTGTTGCGATCTTGAGCAAGAAAAAACAGGGAAGGGGGAAATAATTAGGTATGATTAGTGAATTTTTAAATAATTGAATTTAAAATAATCGAGAGCGTTACAAAACAAATCAATCAGTATTAATGTAGAAAATAAAATGTAATAATTTAAAGAGTAGGTCATATGGGTAAAGCTGTTTAGTAATACATAAAGGGGACAAAAGCTGAGCCCACGAGGTTATGGTTCTTGAAATAATGGAGAACACAGAGACTGAGAGAGAGAATATCGTTTTAAAAATTCATGTTAAAAACAACAAGTGTACTATCGATATAAATAAATTAAGCAAGTATTACTATTTTAGTTTTATTCTCTGTATTCTATTCGTACATGTGGCATAATATCCATACAGGTAAGAACTTCTACAGAGCTTCCCATGGGCAGTCCACATATTATTGTATGATTATTATTTTTGTCATTATTTAGAAATGAACCTTCTTTTTCAACAAATGTGAACCCATTTTGAAAAAGAGGACTTCTTTTTATAATAATACTTTTATAATAATTTTAGCAGAAATTTTGATAAAAATAAATTATGGTAAAAAAATAGCAGAATAGTTATTTCTTTTTTTTTTCAGCAAACATGAAATATAATATTAGGAAAGTGAATGACACATGTATTTTATTATATAGTTTTGTTTATTGGTACAGACTAACTTAGTTAAAGTATCAACTTGATGTAACATAGTTCTTTGTGTTAAGCGAGAGATGTTCTAAACATCCATTACAATCGATCCGACATATCTATATTCTTCCTTTCTTCCTCACGTTTTTTTTAAGTGGAAGATACAATTTTAGAACAGTCACTCATAAATGTTACGTTTTCATAATTGAGTTTGTTAATTTTTTGTACAACTATCTTCAGAGACATTGCTTCAGCTTCCACCAGAGTTTGGATTTAATCTACAGATGAAGAGCTTTGCAAAATTAGATTGACCTCATTTATATGGAGAGTCCAAGCAATTCCAGCTTCTTTGTTAGGTGCAACCCATGAGACTAAGCAACAGTAAAAAGGACATTTGCTAATAAATTGTGGGAACATTATTACTTCATCATTACGTATCCGAGACTTCAAATAAGGTTGAGCAGGAACATCATTGACCTGCTGCCATAGCTAGTGATGCAAAAAAAAAATTTAGGATTGAATGGTATACAGCTTTTTCACGCTTTAACGTTTTGAAAACGTGATTCCACTAAATACATATCATTCACAATATTAAGCATTTAATGATAAAAAGTGAAAATCAACATGTTACTTTTCAAACCATTCTGCACGTTTTAAATTTATAACTAATTTATAGAAAAATTCATTCAATTTATGGATACTAGCTTTTTAGCGTTTTGAGTTTATTCAGTTTTCAGTTTACCCATCCTATTGATTCCGCTAGTTTATTATTCAGCTATTCCGTTATTCTGTTATTAAGTTGACATACCAGTCAAACTATTTATTAATAATAACTATAATGCTGAAGCGTTTTCCTAATTTGAATAGTAATTGATTTTTTGCTTTTAAAAGTTCCCAATCAATAAATAGAATTAAAGAACAGTCGTCTTTTTTAGAGAAAATGATATGGAACAAAGCTTCTAAATTGTGTAATAGTTCCAAAGACAATATATGTATTCTCTCAGGTAGATAAGGTAAAGATAGTTCCCATACCTATTGTGAGATAGTGCACTGAAAGACGAGATAATTGAAGGTTTTTTCCCTCTGACCATAAAGCAGACATGTAACGTCTAATGATAGGCCTCTCTTGCAAAGCTGACAAGTAACATGTAAACTGTCATGAAGAGCTCGCCACCAAAAAAATTTAGTTTTGTGGAGCATTCAGGCTCCAAAAAACTTTAAACATAGATCGTTTTTCAATATTATTATCAGCAGAAGAAGCATGTTCGGTTTTAAAGCTCCGCATGACAGAATATCCAAATTTTACATTATAGAACACATGCTGCATATGAATCCAAGAGAGGGAGTCACTTAATTTGGTGATGGAGGGCCTTAGCTTCATTACTTCTTGCACATCTTGTGGCACAAAAAGGCTTCAGAGTTTTTCTGTATCCCACATCTGAGTAACTGGTATGAAAAGATCATAAATTTTTAGCTTAGGATAATACCCATAATGCACAAGCTTAGGTGGTTTAGGAAGATTTAAAGGTAGTCATGGATCCGACCAAATATTTAAACTTTCTCCATTGTCTACACTCCACACTATACCTGCTTTTAGAAGTTCTTGTGCATTAAGAATACTCTTCCATGCATAACTAGACTGTCGTTTAGCAGTAGCATGAAGGAGGGTTGCGTTTGGATAATATTTAGCTTGATATACTCTTGCTAACAAGGATGTAAGATGCTTCATTAATCTCCAGGCTTGTTTAGCTAGTAAAGCAATCTTGAAATCTTTTAAGTCTCAAAATCCTAATCCTCCTTATGATTTAACTTCTACAATTTTGTTCCATGCAACCCAAGAGATTTTTTGTTTCTATCAGGACTATTTGATCACCAAAAGTGTCTAATATCTATCATCATTTTATTGATGAGTCTTTGAGGTAGTAGGAAACAACTCATATTGTATGTCGGAATTGCAGTGATATACAAGGTTTTTAAGGCTTTTTAACCTAAAGTTTTTAATGGTTTTTTGAGTCAAAGTGTTTATTTTAGAGTTTTTAGTCCTTTATAGAGCCATTTTGGGTTTTATGTCACTTTGGGAGAAAATGAGCCGTTTTGGATACAAACGAACATATGTTGATGCAGAACTATGTAGGGACGTCAGAAGTTTGGCATTCATTTAAGCTCTTCCCACCGATGGATAGAGCTGAAATTTATACACAGGCTATATATTTGAGTTAGATTTTATTTGGAAGTGATTTAAGGCCAATCCAACGATGGGATCAAAAATTAGGCTAGTTTTTGTGAAAACAGTTTAGCCTGGTGTCCAGATGAAGCATGCGCAGAAGGAGTCATCGGAACGATCGATCCACTTCCAGAACGATCGTTCCGACATCAAAAAATCTACCGTGAACTTTTAAGAACGATCGTTCTGGTATAGAATGATCGTTCACAGCCTCTATACGTAAAAAAGCAATCTGCAACTTCCTATTTTGTCTTGGAATCATCCTAACTAAACCTATTTCGACCCTAGACCTATATATACATTATTTGAGCCCTTTTTTAGGGAAAAACTGACACAAGTTATTCTCTATTCTATCTTTTAGTTTTGGTGCTTTGTAAGTTTGGAGAGAAGAATCTCTACATCTTTTGAGAAGATTTTTTGAACCCCTTTGGTTTTCTTATTTATTGATTATGAGTTTCTCTTCATCTCTTTAATTGTTCCATGCTTCGATGTTTGAGTAGTTTCATAGTTAGGTTTATGGTTTCAAGGGGATTATGAATCATTGAATCAGACATAGATAAGGACTTATTCATATGTTGTCTTAATATACTGCTGTGTTTATTGCTTAGATTGAATTGATCACTTAGTCTCTAATTTAGGGTTTAATCTATTCATAAAAAGTGTTATAGATTGCTTGATAAGAGCATACATACGCATATTGTCCTTAGCCAACAAAAGCTGATGCTAAGGCTATCTGTGAACAAATCAAATCTGACCATTTATGCTTGTTTACAATTATAAGTTTAAACGACAGTGTAGAATCTTAGATTGCTAGATAAAATCTCTGATACCACAACAGTGGATTAGCTATACATTCATGTTTGAGTTCAAGATTGTGCTTATTTGTTCCCCGAATAAAGTTATGGTTCATGATCTCTGATTCCTGCGAATTGCCCTTGACGACTTCTGTTTTAATTGATCATTTGCCGAATTTATTTGCTAATTTCGTTTTACATTGCATTTAACAACCCATATTCTTGTCTAAGCTTAGTTTCTTTCATTAAGATTCGCAGTGTAACACTTAGTTCTTGTGGATTTGATCCCTACTTTTCTATAACATTTGCTGTGCACTTGCAGTAGTTCTATAGGATTAAAACTATGTGTATCATGCAGTAATTATCGACTTAATCAACACTTATTTACCAGCAAGTGATAATAGTTTTGAATACCAAGTAGCCAGTTTATGATGCATCCTCTGCTTTAGATAAGCAAAATTTCAGCTCGGTTTCGACCTATTGACTCATGCACTCCTAAATATTTTCCAAAACCACCTACTTGTGTTATTTGAAGCAACTAAGTTCATTGATAGTAGTTTGAGGAGTACCTTTGCTAAACAGAATATAAGACTTGGCGTAATTGATATACTGACCTGACGTTTGACCATACATAGATCAAGCTCAGTTTAGCGTTTCAGCATCCTTAGCAGTTGCTCCTGAAAAGAGTAAAGAGTCATCTGCAAAAAGCAGTTGCATAATTAGCAGACCTCCTCTAGAAGCCTTGTATCCAACTAACTCTTTTTGCATAGTCAATCGCTTTAAGAGAGCAGAGAAGGCCTCAGTACAAAGTAAATAAAGGTACATAGATATTGGGTCTCCCTGACAAATACCTCTTTGAGGATAAATCTGAGGGGTGGGTTCACCATTAATAAGCACATAATATGAGACAGAAGTAAAACACTTCATTATCCAGTATCTCCATTTCTTATGAAATCTTATTTTCTCCATCACTTCATCCAAAAACCTCCATTGAACTTTATCAAAGGCCTTAGTAATATCTAATTTGAGAGCCATATAATGGTGTTTTAAACGCT